AGACATATTGACATTACATAGAGATGTATGCAAATGTCTGTTGCGCCAAAAAAAGCTTTAGCTGGCTTTTGGCCATGGTGTGCATTGTACCCATCAATCGAATCATGTTCTCACTCTTGAGTTCAAACCGTGCACACGGTTTTGGTCGATTATAAAACAAATTAAGAACATAGACTTAAAGGATTAATCGTACAAAAAAAATGTTTGCTTAGCTGTGATCTTGATCATGAATTGCCCACGAGCAAATAAATAAACATGAAAACATTTTTAATAGAAAAAACTGCAGCTTGAAGCTCAAAGTAAAGCAAAGCAAAGCAAAGCATAATAAAACAAATAAATTTAATGAAAAAGACCGAGCCTTTGAAACCATATAGAGCCGTAATGAAAGCGTAGAGCATAGAAGAAGAGGGAAAATGGGTTAGCAAAATCTTCTGCCGAAAGGCATCGACTGTGGTTTGAAATCAGCAAACGGGCTGACTTAGCAGTATTACACGTGGCAGCCGAATTACGTATTTATAAATAAATACGGAGAAAATAAAAATAGCCAAGAAGAACAACAGAATAGCGAGCAAAAGGGTTCTATCTGAGTAATGACGACAAGAAAACAACAGAATGTAGCATTTTTTATAGGCATATGCCAACAATTCAAAACTGAGATTTGGTTCAACTGTTGTGCAACGTTATGCTCTTTTCTTTTAGTTTTCGCTGCCTCCTTTCGGATGCTCTTTGTTGCCGTCTATATATATATAACACCTATATGTTTCTTTTGGTATGTGTGGCAATTTTTTTGGTTGTCGCACAAGCGATGCCATACAAACATCCAATGCAAACAATGTGATAAAATTTCGTGTGGCAGTGACAGAGACACAAAAAGCCAAATAAATAAATACCAACCAACGAAAATGGTATAAATTTTTCAAAACAAACTCGGTAAAACAATAAACATCTCAGAAAACGCAACCAAACCAGAGAGAAAGGGAGAGGGGAGAATGAAGAAAAAAGAAAGAGCAAACATCCACGATTATTTGTTGCAATAATTCAAATGTGAAATTTGGCAATTTTTACCCGGTTTTGTTTGACCGAAATGTTGCGTACAACATTCGCACACAAACACACGAATGATTATGGTTTACTAAACAGTCATTCGTCCTAAAACGAAACAGCGAACGGGCAAATAAATACAATTCAACTGTGTGCTTCTGTTGCAGTTTGTGCGTGTATGGCACAATGAAAATAACAATAAATAGAAAATTAAAACAGAATTTGGTGGCACTCCTTAAGACCGCTATATTTTCTGTCTCTTTCATTCTCTTCCTCGCTGTCGCGACTCTTTTTTTTTATTGTTATATCGTATTATATTGCCGATGCTTTTCATTTTTTTTTCGGTCACACACGGGACTATTGTCATTCATGCAATTCGTATTGTGTAAATAACACTGTACAATGATGAGGACGATGATCGTCTTAGTTAGTGTGCCTATGTAAAGAATGATAATGACATTTTTCTGACAAATGTCATAACAACAGCAGCATCGGTGACGATCCCATTTGATTCAATTCGAATCACGCACGCTCACATTTTCGCATGTTTTCTTTTTTTCTTTGGAAAATCAGCAATATTCAATTTGTGATGAGATGACATTCAATAGAAAATCGTTTGTCGATTATTTTATTACTGTTATCTGCACGATTTATGCAGACAGTTATTTGTGTGTATGTGCGTGTTTGTATTTGGTTAACTTGTGTGTGTGTTCTTGCTTGGAACAAATTTATGAGGACAATTTTGGATGCTAGACAAAGATACCATGCGTTAAGCGACTATCACCCACAAATTTTTGGATTGAATTTTATTTATCATCAAATGCGTTGGTTATCAATGTTATCAAAATGTCGATACTACCGACATCACAAATCTACTCAAGTCAATTGAACGATGAGTTGAAGTCGTGGCGAAGGTCGGTCATTGTACACACTCAAAAAGCGATTCATTCATCGAGGTTTAGGATAACAACAAAAAAAAAACAACTTGATTGAAAATTTTCCTGTTTGTATTCGGAATAATGCATAATAGCTGTAATGAAAGGACAATTAGTAGTAAACTCACTAAGAACCAGAGGTTAATAGGACAAAGCGTCGGTATTTCGCAGGCATCCGCTTGAATACAACCGCTGAGAAGAAAAAATAATTAAGAAATAACTATTAGTTCCAGATGTTGATAGTAACGAAACAAAAAAAAAAACATAAAAATTCCAAGAAAATGATTTCCAAAAGGTTTTAATGGTTTTGCTGCTTCATTTCGTTTGTGTGTGTTGTGCATTTTCATTGCCAGACTAAATGGCGCATCGCTAAATGGCCACTCGGATTGTATTTGTGTTTCTTTTTCGCCAAGAGCCAACAATAGCAGCAGCAGCAGCAGCAGCATATGCAATAAATATCTTTCGAAATGGTATATTATTGTCGTTGGCATCGCTGATAATTTTCACATTAATCGTCTACTTGCCGTAAGAAGTACTTGATATTTGTATTTAATAAGTAACACGGTAATTCGTTCGTCAGAATCGACTCAGCGCCAAAGCGAACGTTAGGGAGAACGAGAGTGACTGCTACTTCATATTCAACATTAAAATTGTCGGTCGTGAGATTTTCTCAAGCTGGAACTCATTTATGGGAAACATCTATGCGACTACTTTTTTTTGTCGTCCAGCTTTTGTCACACTCCATCTCTCTCGCAGAGGTGAATATCAAGGATGCTCCACTTTTTTCATTCATTCATGCATTCCAAAGAGAGAGAGAGAGAGAGAGAGAGAGAGAGAGAGAGAGAGAGAGAGA